TATATATATATATATATATATATATAAAGCATTAAATCATAAACAGCGCACATGAGTATGGTTCAGCATGTCCCTGGACTCACCCGTAGTTTTCAGCCAAAATCTTAATGTGTAAATTTTACTGTAGAATTTTCAATCAATATGATTAATATTGACCTATGAATTAAAGTAATAAATAATAAATAAAACCTTACAAATGCCTAGATTTATATATACATGCATGTGATTTTTAATGTAATTAACGGTTTGATATATGCTCCGTTTGTAACTCTATGAGCAATTCCGTCTCGAAATATATACATATGATCATAAACTCATGGTTTTGTAAAAAAAATACAAACACAAAGAATAAAGAAACTCGAAAGCAGACGCTCAAAAGAAATAAAAAAACAAATTAAAAGAATAATTGAAAAAATCAATTCACTGCCACATGACGCATTACTAATTTGTTATGAGTGCGATTATAAAATATAGCCCTGATATCTTGGCCACTATCCAAAGACACCCAATACTTGAAACTCAGTTGATGAATTTGGTCAAAGAAAGTACAAGTTGGCAACAGTGTTGATATTTGTTGATCGCAGTTTATTTGAATGATCGTAGAAACATTACAAAAACCGAAGCAGAGTATGATGTTTGTGACTATACTATAGTAAATGTAAACATATTGTCTGAAAGCGAGCAGTAGAAATTTTAATTTAACAATTAATTACATCCGGATTACAGTGCTCTCCGGATATGAAAAGTGTCTTCTTAAATATGCTTCTAATTATATTCTCTTTGGGTCTTATAAATATTGGCGAATAATTTAAGGGAATTACAAAGCATTTATATAAAATAATACAAATGTAAATCTTTAATATATTATTTCTTATAGCGCAGTAGAATATCTTGAAAATTATTAGTTGTTTGATTTAAGTATAGCTATTTTAAAGACATTTTTTATGCAGTGTTAGATCATGATAGGCTTTAGAGATCGTTTAATAAATACAGATATGATAATTTTTTAAAACATTCTTTTTGATAAATGTACAGACAAACTTCACAAGGCGATATGTTAACTATATTCTTTTAGTGATTTATTTTAATTCTCTTTGTCCCAATCATGACATGTGCAGTACTTGAATTTCTTAAAGATTTTAGAAAAATATAGCTATATAATCTTATTTTTCAATCTTATATGATGCTTTAGACAAAAATCAAAAATCATAACATAAATATTTTTTGTTAACCCTGTGATTTTTTTTTCCAAGAACAAAATATGGTTTAATTTTTTTTTAATATTCAATCAGGTATAATAATCAAACAGCATAATAATTATGAATGTGTATTTTTTATATATATTTCCTTTCCCATCTCTAGTGGGAAGGGAGGTAAATCAAGTTTATAAAATTTATGACTGATTACATCCTTTAGTCGTTTTAATAATCTATACAAATAAAATATTTATCTGCATTTACACAGAATTAGTTCCCAATCAAAATTATCCATTTAGTTGATTAGTTCCTTTACCCCTACGTTTCTTCGATTGCAGTCTTATTTGTTCAAGCTTTTCATGAGAAGCACTCACAAAGATACCTTTCCCTATTAAGTGAAGGTCTTACTTCAACTTGGTTTGAATATATGCATTGTCGTCACCGTATTTTCTGTTCTGTTTCTAATCTTTTCATTCCGAGAGATATTTCCATTTCACTGTTGGAGTAAACACAAAACTTTTAATATAAAAAGATGTTGTTCAAAAAGCGATTTATGTAATAATAAGAGTAATCAATGAATAATAGATATCTCTTGAACTTCTGAAAATATAAAGAGAACGGATTAATGAATCTATTCCTTGGCCTGTATTTCAGTTGTTGATACTTTATCTCTTCTTTATTGAATCTCAATACATTGTGTCCAGACTTCTATTTCAGTGCATCTCATTATTAAAACATTCCAAAAATTGCCGTCATTTTTTACGGCACGGCGACACTAATTATTTAATAAAACCTTAACCCAATATGTTTGACACTATTTATTTCAAAATAATATTATTTAAGTTACATAACATTACGCATCAATTTCAGCAAAATATTAGTATAAGTTCAATTGAAATTAATTAATTTTACAAAACGTTTTAACTTATATAAGTTGCGTAACTAATGACAAAGATTTAACAAAAAGCTTATGTGTGGCACTTAAATGTAACATTATTGGACATTTTGGCTTCTCCGTTTGGTTCCTTGAAAAAAATCATTTAGTTTCCTTAACTATAAGCAAAACATTTTAATTTTAATGGCCGAGATGCTTTGTCAGACGAAGTTGAAGCTCAGAAGAAATGACAAGAAAAAGGATTTATTTCATAAACTAGATTAGGAATAAATCAAAGAAATCGCTCCCAACCTAATGACGCCTTATTTTCTTCTTTATTTATTTTTTTTTTTAAATCAGATTTAGATTTCTTTTTATTAATTATGGTTATCTAAATTCAACGTATAGTAGGATGTTTCAAAAGCCATAGTAAAAGAGACTGCATTTTTATAGGGATGATGATTAAAATTAAAATTCACAAGCTAATTTGAAATAAATCATTATGCTAGAGGTCATGGTTAGGAAATACATTTACGTTTCTTATTTGTAAAGCGGGGGAGGTTACTGAACAATGGAAACATCAGTTTCGTGGGGCGGGAGATAAGGAAATCAATTTATTCTACGAGGGAGCACAGAAATCTTCTCAGTTTATCAAAGAAAAGAATCCAAAAATATACGTTTGGTAATGTGGTCAGGGTTGATGGAC